ACTGGATTACTCTTGTATTTATCTGTTGGATCTAAACTATATCCTGGAGTTGGAGTGCAAATTTCAGGTTTTGAACAGACTCCATTTATACAAGGTTTGCTACAAACTGGAATAATTGTGTATTTATCATTTGGATCTAAACTATATCCAGAATTGGGTGTACAAATTTCTGGTTTTGAACAGATTCCATTCACACAAGGTTTACTGCAAACTGGAACACTCTTGAATTTATCATTTGGATCTATAATATATCCTGTAGCTGGAATGCAAACTTCAGGTTTTAAACAATGTCCATTTAAACAAGGTTTGCTACAAACTGGATTACTCCTGTATTTGTCTATTGGATCTAAACTATATCCTGCATTGGGTGTACAAATTTCTGGTTTTGAACAGACTCCATTTAAACAAGGCTTGCTACAAATTGGATTGCTCATAAATTTGTCTTTTGGATCTAGACTATATCCTGGATTAGGTGTACAAACTTCAGGTTTTGAACAATATCCATTTACACAAGATTTGCTGCAAACTGGATTACTTTTATATTTGTCTTTTGGATCTAGGCTGTATCCTGTATTGGGTGTACAAACTTCTGGTTTAGAACACCAACCATTTATGCAAGGTTTGCTGCAAACTGGATTACTTTTATATTTGTCTTTTGGATCTAAACTGTATCCTGTTGTTGGAGTGCAAACTTCTGGTTTTGAACAGACTCCATTTACACAAGGCTTGCTACAAATTGGATTGCTCATAAATTTGTCTTTTGCATCTAGCCTATATCCTGGATTAGGTGAACAAATTTCAGGTTTTGAACAATACCCATTCACACAAGATTTACTGCAAACTGGATTACTCTTGTATTTGTCTGTTGGATCTAAACTATATCCTGTTGTTGGAGTGCAAACCTCTGGTTTTGAACATATTCCATTTACACAAGGTTTGCTGCAAACTGGATTACTTTTATATTTGTCTTTTGGATCTAGACTATGTCCTGAATTGGGTGTACAAATTTCTGGTTTTGAACAGACTCCATTTACACAAGGTTTACTGCAAAATGGAACACTCTTGTATTTATCATTTGGATCTAAACTATATCCTGTTGTTGGAGTGCAAACTTCTGGTTTTAAACAATATCCATTGATGCAAGTCTTCGAACAAACTGGATCACTCTTATACTTATCAGACGGATTCAATTTATATCCAGCATTTGGTGTACAAACTTCAGGTTTTGAACAATATCCATTGATGCAAGTCTTCGAACAAACAGGATCACTTTTATACTTATCAGATGAATTCAACTTATATCCAGCATTTGGTGTACAAATTTCTGGTTTTGAACAATATCCATTAATACAAGGCTTCGAACAAACTGGATCACTCTTATACTTATCAGTTGGATTCAATTTATACCCAGCATTTGGTGTACAAACTTCAGGTTTTGAACAATATCCATTGAGACAAGGCTTCGAACAAATAGGATCACTCTTATACTTATCAGATGGATTCAACTTATATCCAGCATTTGGTGTACAAACTTCTGGTTTTGAACAATATCCATTAATGCAAGGCTTCGAACAAACTGGATCACTCTTATATTTATCAGACGGATTCAATTTATACCCAGAATTAGCTGTACAAACTTCAGGTTTAGAACACCAACCGTTTATGCATGGTTTTGCACAAACAGGATCACTCTTATACTTATCAGTTGGATTCAATTTATACCCAGCATTTGGAGTGCAAACTTCTGGTCTTGAACAATATCCATTGATGCAAGGCTTCAAACAAACTGGATCACTCTTATACTTATCAGACGGATTTAATTTATACCCAGAATTAGCTGTACAAACTTCAGGTTTTGAACAATATCCATTGATGCAAGTCTTCGAACAAATAGGATCACTCTTATACTTATCAGACGGATTCAATTTATATCCAGAATTAGCTGTACAAACTTCAGGTTTAGAACACCAACCATTTATGCAAGGTTTTGCACAAACAGGATCACTCTTATACTTATCAGTTGGATTCAATTTATACCCAGCATTTGGTGTACAAACTTGCGGCATAGAACACCAACCATTGATGCACGGCTTCGAACAAATAGGATCACTCTTATATTTATCAGACGGATTCAATTTATATCCAGCATTTGGAGTGCAAACTTCTGGATTCGAGCAGAATCCGTTGATGCAGGCTTTGCTGCATTTCGGTCCACATTTCAACGGAGTTTTCGTTATCTGCGTGTATCCATTGCAGCAGTACGATTCAGTTTCTTTGAAGTATGCAGTCTGAAAAAAAAAAGAGAAACAAAGGTATTTTTATCTGTTGCATTAAGTACACCAGCTAAATTATAAAATTCAATAGAAATAAAAAAAACTCTGGTAGAAAACATAGACTAATAGATTACCTTCTCAATACAATCTATTAGAATGTGCCTGCACTTCTTTTGCGCTAGAAGATTAAAAGGCGTCGTCGAGTATCTAATTCTTCGTTTATAATCGACAACGAACTTGTGCACTTTCGTCGGTTCCAATTTCATTGACGACACCGGTGTGCTGCGTTTTAAAAAGCAAATCGAAATTACATAATTTGCGCCAAAATCTACCCACTTACTTGACCTCTCTGGTACAAATATTCCCGACTCCTTGCACCAACCCGACGACGCACGCAACGAAAACAACGCACAGCGCGAACCTCATGATCTCTGCGCTTCGCCGAGACGAACTGAAGATGTTTTCCAGTTCATGCAAAGCGATAAAAACTTTATCCGCTTATGTAAAACGAAAATAATGATAATAATAATAATATGGATTTACCAATTACGTTATCGCGGTTCACAACAACAAATATATAGATTAAGGATTACGAGAGATTCAATTCTAAATTTAGCTACAAATCACTCACCTTCCCACCGCAAAGTCTGAGAACCTTCCTCGGTTTCGGGCTAACGCTGGGCACTATTCGTAACTTGACGTTCTTTCCGTTCTTCGCGATTATTTTTTTGAACTGTGCTCGAGGAATCTTTAATACCGGTTTGATGCGAACGACTTTAACCTTCGGTTTGATCGACAGTTTGACGTCTTTCAATCGGACGCGTCTGATTGTCTTAGTGCAAACGGTCTCATTTCCTTGCGCCAATTCGCAGCAGACGATAACAGCAATTAGAAGGAGGGAAAACTTCATGACTTTTTCAGAACGATGGCGCGGATGTACTGCGGGTTTGTTTTCTGTGTAATCTTCGGGTTGAATGATAAAAAGATCATCTGAGTGGCAAAGAGCAAGGATAAAACACGCTCGAAGAAAAATTCCCAATGACGCTGTTTGCGAACGTACAAAAGGATTTACACTGATTATATTTACGTAATCTATTATTAATACATTCGTTATTAATCAATCAAAGTTAACATACATTTAATATCACAAAAATCACATCAAAACCTTAGCGAGCTGAAAAGGCGTTAGATTTGAATAAAGTTTGTTTGTTTTATAGAAAACGACTCAGATCTACTTGAAATTTTAATCTGATATAGGTTTTCTGCAAGAAGAAGCTCGAATTTTTTATACATTCTATTCTGTTTACATTGAGATCAAATCTTTGCTGGGCTAAATCTAAGGGAGTTAAATTTGGATAAACTTGGAAGATTTTATACAAGGAATTGAACTTTTACTCACAATATTTCTCTGGTGTAATTATAACAAGAACTTTTACCAATCGTAACAACTGTAGTTATCAAAATACTTCAGTTTTATAATCACAACATCATTTTTTTATCACTCTTGGTGAGAATTGAGCAAAATAAACTGAAATTCCCAGATAATTCCACATTTTTGTATGATGAAAACAACAGCAAAATGATTACGCAATCAATGCTTATAAACTATAAGTCAATTGGATCAGTAGGTTGAATACCTTGAGAATGCAGTCGTGGAAGAGACGTTCACATCCACATTCCTGGTAAAGTTCCATCGACGTTTTATTGGGATAGAAAAGCTTAACGTTCAAGAGAACAAACCACATCCGTTCCGGTAGTATATCGTATTCGGACAAGGGCACTCTACAACGGAAAAAACATCGCGTTTCTTTTTTCTCTCAATAATTATTAAGAATTTCCAATTTTTAACTCACAATACTTCTCCTCTGCAAATTTTACCTGAACTTTCGGTAATTGTAAAAACTACAGTTATCAAAATAAACCACTTTATTTGTTCTTTCATTTTCAAGGATTATTTGTTTAATTTAACTAAGCTTTCAAGAGACACTTGTTGCGAATTTTAAGCAAGACTGAAGTGCATGCAACGAAAATGATACGAGGAAGAAAACAAGTTATAAATATGAAATTATCGGTTTGTGAAAAAACAAACAAAACTTGTAAACATTGGATTTTGATATCAGGAGGAGCAGAAATAATCCAATATTAACAATGATTTACATGTTAATTGAATACCGAAAAAATGCAATTGTAATGTGTATATTTTGTCAGAGGTCGAAGGTCGTTGTGGTCATATAAAAACAGCATTTTTTTCCAATTTAAAATTGTTTTTTCCATACAATTTTGATATCAGGAGGCGCAAAAAGAATCCAATATTAACGATGATTTACAAGCTAATTGAATACCGGAATAATGCACCTATAGTATGGATATTTTTGCAGAGGTCGAAGGTCGTTGTGGTCAAATAAAAACAGCATTTTTTTTTCAATTTAAAACTGTATTTTCCATACATTTTTGATATCAGGAGGCGCAGAAAGAATCCAATATTAACAATGATTTACATGCAAATTGAATACCGAAAAAATGCAATTGTAGTGTGGATATTTTCGCAAAGGTCGAAGGTCGTTGTGGTCATATAAAAACAGCATTTTTTTCCAATTTAAAATTGTTTTTTCCATACAATTTTTGTATCAGGAGGCGCAGAAAGAATCCAATATTAACGATGATTTACAAGCTAATTGAATACCGGAATAATGCACCTATAGTATGGATATTTATGCAGAGGTCGAAGGTCGTTGTGGTCATATAAAAACAGCATTTTTTTTCAATTTAAAACTGTGTTTTCCATTCAATTTTGATATCAGGAAGCAAAGAAATAATCCAATATTAACAATGATTTACATGTTAATTGAATACCGAAAAAATGCAATTGTAGTGTGAATATTTTCGCAAAGGTCGAAGGTCGTTGTGGTCAAATAAAAACAGCAATTTTTTTAAATTTAAAATTGTGTTTTCCATACAAAAAAATAAACGTAATTTACTCAAGATATACCGTAATTTGATAAAAGCACCTTGAGACAAATTATTAAAAAAAAAAGTTCTTTTTTGTTTGCAAAATTCCCAATTATTCCATGGGAATTACCCAATTCAAATCGTTAATTGCGAATTGATAATTGCTGCATGATGTAACTTTGAATGAAGGAGATAAAGAAGCGAAAATCCCAAAGTTATTTTTAGTTTCACGTTTGCTTATTTCAATTTTATCAATGGATATTTGTAAATTTCTTTTCTATAATCATTTAACAGCGATTTTATTACTTTAATAAATTACTTGGTTTTGGTGGATGCGCCGGGTTATATATTGGGAATTTATTTATTTGCAAATTACTTCAATGTTTGTACTCAAAATGTTTTTTAATAAAAATATGATTGTTTTCTTTTGTAATAAATAATATCTTATCAGTTATTTTTACCTATTTCTAATGAAAGTAAGCTTTGAAGATGATCTAACTCCTAATCTTTTGTTTCTAATGTATGAAAAGGTCACTTGATTTTCAATAACTTTATTAACTCGTTCAAGGTTATAGTGATGAAATCGCTGCATTTGAATCTCTTAAGAGGAATCAATATATCTTAAAAAAATAATCAAGTCATGTTGTTTATATTTTTAACGTTAGAAAATATTGTCTTAAATATTAAATGCATAAGCAAACTATAAAGATTGTTGATTTTTCATAGAATATTTCATCATTATCATCTTTTCTCTATGGAGAAATTATGAGAAAATGTCATGAAAGATTATTAAACTTTTAGTTAAATAATTAAACGATAGTAATAATAAACTAGATTTAATTTGTCGAAAATAATTTATAATTTAATATTTTGTCAGAAATTATGGTAAATTGGTTTTATTTTGTCTGAATTCTTATTTTCATTGTTTGTGATATTTTGCTAATTCAGAAATTGTTAATAAATAANNNNTTAAAGTAATTTAACATTAAGTAAGTAAACGAAAGTTTCTTATTTTTTTTTGTAATATTTTGTTAATGAAATTGGTTAAAAATTAACAGTTACAACAAGATTTAACAGTGAAATAAGTAAACGAGAGTAATAATAAACTAGATTTAATTTGTCGAAAATAATTT